GCCCAGACCATACTCGAGCGGATGATCAGCGATGTCAAAGGGGAGTACCATAAGGACCAGGATAACTTTTCGGACGCGGTCACTTTCTGCTTTCCCACTATCAAGAAACACGATTTGCTGATTACCGTAAACTTTTGGAACGCATTTTCACTTTATCTGGATGACTTCCTAGATAAGAAAACAGTGGACCAGGCTCACTATGTTGCGTATGAATTATTAGTTAATGATAGTTAGCTATAAGCAAAATTTATAATAGTAGTTTTTGATTAGATAAATTATATTGTCTAATATGCAGATTATGGAAAACCTACATGGCTAACAAAGTATCAACTGGGTCGGACTTTTTGGACAGGATGTATAACGTATTGAGCGGGTGGTTGGACAGGGTGCTTACCCCCAAACTGAGACAGATTCACGATCAGTGGTTTGGGGAATGGCTATCAATATATGATATGATGGAGGAGATTAAAGTAGGCAAGGGTATTCCCACACTTGAACAATACCATGATATAAGGTTAGTATAAAAACAAGGCAATTGATTATTTTAAACTTATTAGATCTATTAGAACACATTAACGTAGTGTACATTAAATTTTAGAGTAACTTTTAATTTAGAGTAATTTTTAGAATAAATGATTTTAAATTTATTATTATTATTATAAGTTACAGTTTTTCAAGCAATAAGTTACTCTAAAATTTAATGTACACTACGTTATATAGATAATGGACGTATTTTAATTTGACAATTTCAAATAAACATACAGTTTTTAGACTATCTACTTTGTAATCAATATGGAGAATGAACATGTATGATTAATATAATTAATTGTAAATGTCCGCTTTTAGAACATTAGACGTTGGCTACATAATTATGCAGATTTTTATATACGCCTCTCTCGAGTTTGACCCTGATGACTATCCAGAAATTATCAATAACCCCAATTGGCACCTATTCAACACGTGGTCAGTTCGCAACTTTTATTACGCCAATGATGTCTACTCGAGCAAAAAAGAGACCATGCAACAACAGGGCAAATTCACCCTGATCTACATCATTATGCACAATGATAAATGCGATGCCCAGACAGCGTGCGATAAAGTGGTGGCTATGACACACGAGTCGTGGGAAATGATCTACAAATATGCAACTTTGTTGGCTGAGCTTGACATACCTGCGCTCAATGACTATACCTACGGAATTATGTGCCTGCTTAAAGGTAATGTGTACTGGTCAACAGTTACACCACGCTATCAGGATATGAATAAATATAAAGATTATAAACTTGGTGATGAGCTTATTTTTGATTGAGTATGTTCATTACTAATAGTATTTAGTAGATTTTATGGTATATTTAAATTAAACAAGTACTTTATATTATTAATTAAAAAGTAACATTTTTAACTCTGTCAATGTATCCCACTTGTTACTAGAACTACAGTACTTTTTAATCAAGCACATTAAAATTTTTTATTTGTTTTATTTATTATAATTTTAAAACATATATTAATAGCTGGATATATTAAAATTAAAACAACGATAATATATTATATCGTTTATAAATGTCGTAAGAATTTCTAGGAATTACAAGAATATTCTTACAGAATCGTAGACTATATATATGTTGCAGTAATTAAATAAAATTTGCAATAACTCTAACCTTAAGCGCCAGTATTAATGTGTTAGTACACAGAGCACATACATTCTCGCACACATAACATACCAGTGCCAGTGTCGGCAGTTATACTCTATAATACAATTGAAAGTGATTTATGG